AGATCTAGATCTAGATCTACAGCTGAAAGTTACAGAGATTATTTTTTATTTTTTAAGAATTATTTTTGATTTTAAATACTGATGTGTATTGTTTTCTTTTCCAAATACACAACAAATTACTGATACTGATATGTTCTGTTTTCAATTTTCCTGTACATAAAACATGAAAATCATGAAACTTCGTGTTGAAAAAGTGCAAAACATGTCGCGAATGGTGTTACGGTAACTTGCATAATTTTTGCATAATTTTGCTTTTTTGTGCACAATTTGGCCTTCTAAATTTGCATAATTCTACGGGGACAGACATATGTGTCAATAAGAAATTTAGGGGATCAATAAGGGATGTTAGAGTTTACAGGGGCGCAGACGTAGCTTCGGACCATCATCTGCTTATTTCAACAATCCGGCTAAAGCTAAAGCGAAGACAGGGAATTGTCAATAATAATAGGTACCGGTACAACATGGAATTTCTGAGACAGCCATCGTCAAGAGAGGAATTTAATGTAGCAGTTAAGAACAGGTTCCAATTGTTGGAAACACTAGGCGAGGGTAGCAGCGTGGAAGAAACATGAGAGGCAATAAAAGAAGGCTGGACCGCTGTGTGTCAAGAGGTACTGGGGAAACGGAAACGTGAGCACAAGCCTTGGATATCGGCCACCACTCTGAGGAAGATAGAAGACAGGAAAAAGAAAAAGGATAAGGTAAACAGGAGCAAGACAAGAACAGCCAAAGCAAAGGCCCAAGAAGAATACACCAAAGCAATGAAGGAGGTAAAAGTCAGCGTATGGAAAGACAAAAGAAACTATGTACGATGACCCAGCGCGCGAGGCTGAGGAAGCATCAGTGGCAGGAAACATTACATAAGAGGACTGTATGAAACATCAAGAAGATGTATGAGGGAATAAGTTGCAGTGTCTTACTTGGAGGGCAACGGACAGACTCGTTTGAAGTGAATACAGGAGTGAGACAGGGATGCCTGCTATCGCCTTTTCTCTTTTTATTAGCAGTGGATTGGATAATGAGACAGACAACATCGGGACAACGCGGTGGCATACAGTGGACCCTTTCCAGTCAGTTGGAAGACTTAATTAGACTTTGCCGATGACTTGGCACTTTTTTCTCACAGTCGAGCCCAGATGCATGCAACAGAAAACAGATCGCCTCAGGACCTTCTCTCGTAGTGTTGGACTCCATATTCACACGGATAAAACGAAAGTTCTACGAATGAATGCACCCGACGTTCCTATCACACTGCAAGGGGCACCATTGGCGGATGTTGAATCCCTCACCTACCTAGGAAGTGTCATCAAAAAGGCAGGGGGAACAGACGAAGACATCAAGGTCAAAATGCAAAAGGCAAAAGCAGCTTTCATCATTCTCAGGAATATATGGATGTCTAAGGAACTGGGATTGAACACCGAGCTGAGGATCTTCAAAACAAACGTGAAGACTGTTTTACTGTATGGTTCAGAGACATGGAGGCTCACAGCATCAGCAGCAAGGATACTGCAGAGCTTCGTAAATGGATGCCTGCGAAGGATAGTGGGGATCAAGTGGTACGATCGAGTCACTAATGCTCAACTGTGGGAAAGAACAAGCCAAAGGCCAGTAAAAGAAGACATACAGGTGAAGAAATGGAAATGGATTGGATACACCCTGAGGAGACCCCCGACAAGCATCATCAGACAGGCTTTAACGTGGAACCCACAAGGAAAACGTAAGATGACATGGAGGCGAGCGGTACAAGCGGAAATTGAAAAAGCGGGGACATCATGGAAACAGATAGAAAATGATGCTCAGGACAGGATTCGCTAGAGTAATGCTGTTGATGGCCTGTGCTCCACTGGGAGTTAAAAAGGCGAGAGAGAGAGAGAGAGAGAGAGAGAGAGAGAGAGAGAGAGCGCGAGAAAGAGAGAGAGAGCGCGAGAAAGAGAGCGCGAGGGAGAGAGAGAGAGAGAGAGAGAGAGAGAGAGAGAGAGAGAGAGAGAGAGAGAGAGAGAGAGAGAGAGAGAGAGAGAGAGAGAGAGAGAGAGAGAGAGAGAGAGAGAGAGAGAGATTCGGGTTATGATGAATAAAGTAAAATACCGCAGTCTTTAAGTTACACTGTTTTAAAACAACCTAAAGTAATACGTGCTGGTTGGATTTTAACGGAAAAAAAATTAATACCAGCACACGCACACAGACTCGCAGAGCTCCAGGAAAAACAGCAGCTTTAAGTTCTTTTTAGTATTAGTAGAGTTTCTACGGCGCTCGTAACTGCATAAGATCATAGGAGCGCCAACGAGTGGATGAAAGGGAATCAGGCTTACTCTGCTCACCTCTCTAGCTTCAATAGCACAAAGTCTGCTTCCACTATCAAGGCACCCCGAAAACAGCAGGTCACAAGAGTGTGACAAACATGCAAAAGGAGTAGAGGAAAATGACGGTAGTTAGGATTAAGAAAGAAAAAGCGGCAGTTCCCTGTTGCAGTTCAGGCGCAGTTATGAGCATGCCATTGATGAATCCGCCCATTTTTACGATTAACAATTCTACTGTGATTAAGAACATGTTATTGTAAATCCCCCCCCCCCCCCCCCCCTTTGGGAATGGCGTAAAGACTCTTCAGTCAATAGCACCACTCCAGGGGTGAAACAGCAGCTTTTTCTGAAGTATCAATATCATTTGAAAAAAATAATACGTTTGTATTTTGGACATTCAGTTGGGCACCTCTTTCCTTATATATGTCTGTCTGTCTGTCTGCTTTGTCTACCCCACCCCTTGTCTGCTATCTTTATTTTTTTTTCCCCTTTAACGACAAAGCGGGCAAAAAAATTGTCAATCGAACAGACTGAGACTCGAGATAAATCTCAACAAAAACGCTCATAGTGGCGTTCAGAAAAGTACCCCGTATTCTACGATCACTTGCATTACAGAAGAAAATGTTTAGAGGTCAACTCTTATAAATATCTAAGAGTTGAGTTTTCCACCAAATTTAGCTATAAAAATAATAGGCTACTTCATCCTTCATTTGGGAAGCAAAGTAAGTTTGTTAATATACCCTGAACATCTTCCTGACACTTGTTGATGCCAAAGTATGTGGGTGGTTAGCGGAGAACCGTGATGTGGTTTATTCCTCATTTCCTATCATAATTAAGCGTTTACTCTCCTGTAAGCTTACTACCCACAATCTTCGGCACTTATATGGCTTAACTGTGTTGCAAATGCTGTGAAAACCTCACTACAACGAACAAAAACAATGGCCAGGATGTCAAAGCACATCCTATTTTGTCTTACGAGCCTGGGCTTAAGGAGATTTTAGGATACGCCGGATATTGAGCAGGTTCATACCTTTTTCCTGACAAGGTTCCTGAATGTTTTAGCGCATTATTCGAACTCCGTTATAAATGCTAACACAAGAAAGTATCCGTTGCACCAGTCTCATAAACAAAGCTAAGAGGCCTGGAATAATGTTTCGTATGTGCCAGATATTGAGCAGGTTCATACGTTTTCCCCGAAAAAGAGTACCTTTTCCCTGAGAAGGTTCCTTGATGTTTTAGCTCTCATATCTTTTACCTGAAAAGGTTCCTGAACGTTTTTGCTCATTGTTAAAACACCGTTATAAACCCTGATACTGGAAAGCATCCTTTGCACATATCTAATAAACTAAGAAGCCTGCAATAATGTTTCGTTAACTGAAAATGCCACAGTACAACGACTTAGACAAAAGCGTGGACAACCCAGGGTATAGTTTGGTTGTACCAGGTAGTTGGAATCAATTTAATCTATGGGGGCTCATGATACTATGATGATGAAAAATCGTTTGATTGTTTAAAATAACAAAGAAACTTTCAAATATGTATGAATTAAAATGTGCCTATTTTTAATTATTACTAATTTAATCTCTGTACACTATTATTATTATGGTAAGGCGCTTCTTTGTCGCTCGCAGAAAACTCAAAATCGATTCCCAAAACGAGTGGTTGGCGGGTGCTCTGGTGTGGTTTGCCCTTTCTTTCCTATCAAACATCTGTCGTCGTCCTTATCTCTCCTTCGTCTTTCTTTGTGTTTGTTACTCTCTTGTAACACCTCCAATCTTCAGCCTTTATATGACCTTATTGTGTTGCAAGTGCCGTCGTAAAACTCTTACTAAAACTTTAAAAAAGGAAGGTTTTTGTTTTTTTAAATCGAGTATCTCGGTCTTTCTGCCTGCCTCCTAACTAATCTAAACTGTGTCGGCGGGGCGTAAAATAGTAACATTTAGAAGAAATTTCTCATTAAAATCTTTGGTAGGCTACAAATTCTACAATCAGAATGTTTTCTTTACGACGGTGCATTTGGGAGGTCTTTCAGGAACGTGCGTGCGTGCCTGCGTGCGCGCGCGTTTTTGTGATTGTGTGTGTGTGTGTGTGTGTGTTGTGTGTGTGTGTGTGTGTGTGTTGTGTGTGTGTGTGTGTGTGTGTGTGTGTGTGTGTGTGTGTGTGTGTGGGGGGGGGGGTCTGTGTGTGTGTGTCTGTGCGCGCGCGTGTGTGTGTGTGCGAGTGTATTTGTGTGTGTGTGTGAGAGAGAGAGAAAGAGAGAAAGAGATAGATAGATAGATAGATAGATAGATAGATAGATAGAGAGAGAGAGAGAGAGAGAGAGAGGGGGGGGGGGTGTTCTTAACTAATAAACAGAAAGATAGAAGGCCTAAAGAAGTTAGAGAAATGGATTTTTGGAAATTAAATTATATATTTTTAAAATCCACATTGGCCATATTGTACATGGTCAGTGGAGACTTTATTGAGCATTTGAAAATATTGATTTTAGGTAGGCCACTACTGGCTTTAATTGTCCTTTGCAAACAAAATCGCACTCTTGTGTTGCTTCCACCAAACGATTGCTTGTGAAGATGTGAAATGAAGGAGCTGTCTCGTGTGAAATCAAAAGAAGAAAAGGAAAGCAACCGATATCGTTAAAATAAAACATCCCTTTTTTTAAAGTAGCGCCCCTTGACAAAAGCCACTCTTTTTCTGTGCATAAATTCAACATGGCGGCTTACGTTCATGGCATCGAAGATGCATGACAAGTAATAATGTTCTTCAACGATATTACGATTTTAGGAGTTTAGTAAGGTATGGCTTTGACTGTGGATTGTTTAATTTGATTTGATTCTCAGGAAAGCATGTTTATTCTTTGATAACCACGTTCAGCGGAAGGAGTTCCTCAGAGGGCCGGCCGACCGACCAACACAGCCAACAATCCAACCACACACACAAGTGACAAAAGAAAAGAGGGGATATTTTGAGCGGGGTAGACTAGATTTCTATACCCTAAAACCTCAACCTTAACCCTAACACTAACCCTACCTAACTCTTGTATAGATTGCTCAGTGGACCTTGTCACAGTAAGTGCCGGCTCTTTGCGGAACTCCTCCCCAGCCCCATGGCCATGCAGCAGTGCTCTGTACGGCGTAACATATATAGGCTACACACTACACCTTAATATACAGTACAGTCCTTACAACACAGTCGTGTTGTATTCATCACTCAGTCACACCATGGATCATAGCCATAGTTATAGTATAGACCTAAAAGCATTTCATATTAGTAGGTAGGCAGCTCACCTGCCCCCCGCCCCGCTCTCCTGTTTTATAGATCTATAGTCTAGGCCTACCGCTAGATTATTGCCAATTACGAGAATGGACACCTGTACTGTAACATAGACTAGATTTAGATCTAGATATCTAGTATTTGTGCCTTTACTACCGCCGCCAACTGTCTTACTTACTGATCTAGATCTAGATTCTAGATCCAGGGTCCTCATTCATGAAACTTTTTAAAATGTTAAATTTGCTCCGCTGTACTGCCAGTGAATTGGTCACTAGAGGCCAGACACACACACATGGCGCATAGCACCCATGCTTGGCTGCTTGATATAAATAAAATCTCTTGCCCCACACACGTCTCTGCAAGCTCTGCCTATTTTTGTTCGGGGCCACCTCTATTCTCACCCCGGGTGAGAATAGCGCAGGCGAGTCTTTTGGCTATTCTCACCGGGTGGGCGTTCACCGTTATAGCCTAGGCCAACCAGTGAAGCGTTCACCCTGAACCACAAAATTCTACAATGTGATAACAGAATTATAGAATTCTGAGCTGTGAACAAACGTTCTAGAAGATCTATTACTAGAGATCTAGATCTAGATCTACTGTTAGTGTTAGCTTTTTTAAAAGCGTACAATTTTGTCTGTGGGCAGTGGAGAGAGAGAAAGAGAGAGAGAGTTGTAGACAACCAAATTAATTTAGTTTTCTTGTTTAAAATCATTTTTTAACTTTGTTTAGGTCAATTTGATCGTCCACACCGATAGACAGTATTCAGAAAGAGACAGAGAGAGAGAGAGGGGGGGGAGGAGTAGTTCTTTGTGAGAACTTCCGGGCAAAACAAAATGGCAACCCGCGTAGTTCGGCTCGATTCGAAAAATGAAATAGCCATAGCATCTTTGAAGACGATCAAATTAGCTTACTTTTGTGCTATAACGCAATGTTTTCTTGGCTTTTATCAATTTGATCATCCACACCGATAGACAGTATTCCAAAATGAGGAAAAACAGGTCTTGTTTCACTCCGGGTGAGAATAGCCTACGCTGGCAAGTCTCACCCGGGGTGAGAGGTAGATCGTATTTTTATTCTCACCCCAGGTGAGAATAGCCACTTCCTTTGTTCGGACACTATCATGTGGAGCCTCAGCCCTGGCCCCCCTAGGGTCATTTCCGGTAGAGCCTAGTGCAATCAAATATTTGTGATGGAACTTATTCTTAAATATCTCTTTAACGGGCGAATCTATATAGATCTATATGTATAGCAATACCATACACCCCGCGCTGGCAGTGCGAAAATGCGGTAGACTCGCCCGAGCTTGGGGTAACCCCGGGAACACGCTTATTTATAGCATTGTTCTTTGCGTCAGCCCCATGTATCATACATCAATACACACTGGAGAAATTGAGGCATTCACTGGAAAAAAAATTTTCCCGGTATCTTAGGGGACAGCAGAGATATTATCGAAGAAAGAGGATTGGTCGGTAGCGAGACCGAAACTCGCCGAATGGCACTGTGATTTTCCCACTCTCCGTATTCGCGAAATCCATCTAAATACTAACCAAACGTCTCCAAACTCGGCAACCAATGAGAAGAAAGATGGATCTAGCCTCCGTGGATTTCCGTGTCTTAATTGAGCTAAAAACAAGAAAGTTACTGAGTGGTTTCTTTGAGGAGATTATTTACAAAATGTGTCGTCGATTAATCAGCACAATGCTCCTGCATCATCTCAGACACGCTGAACTATATAATGATAATAATACAGTCGAACCTGTCTTAACGGAATCTCCCGGCTCCCCCCTTGATATATATATATTCCTCTTTAATTACTTGTGTAAAACGGAAACCTGTCCAACGCGGAAAGGGAGAGAAAAATCTGCTCCCTTCCGAGGGTTTCACCTGTCTAAGACGGAAAATGCTTTGCCCGCTCAGCCCTGATTTAAAACAAAAGTCGCAAGTTTGGTTCCGCCGGCTCTAAGCTTAACACTATGGCCATGCCGCTGGGTGAGGAAAGGGAGTAGGGGTGCAATTTGGGGGTAGATGTTACTCCATCATGTGAGCCCTGAGCGATGCAGATGGTCAGGATAGTGTGGGTGGGAAATCTCACGACTGCCCATGAGAGTGCTCGAGTAGTGAGCCACTACTGAAACTTTCCTGGGTAGACAAAAGCCAGAGGTGTGAAATTAGATTGACCAATGCCTGCCGCTCTGATCGTACGGCCAGCCGAGAAAAGAGTTCCGGGAATCATTGTTACATGATGGCAGTGAGGGGTGGCATTGATCCCACCTCCTGGGCTTTGAACCCCCTCCCCCCTCCATCTCCCCCTATATTACCCTGTCTAAGACGGAATTTTTGTCTGGCTTCCTTGCGATTCCGTCTTATGCAGGTTCGACTGTATATAATATGTGCACGGGAGCTTGAACGGACACATGTCCAATTACACTCTGGAGCTTGCTTGGACTCGTGTTCCAATAGATGCAGCTGTATACCGATGCAGCCATTTCTAGCGCTTGTCAATCTTTTTCATTGCATTGATTTTGAAATTATAATTTGAGGGCTCTGGCCAATATTAACTGAAAAAAAAGAGTTGAAATGAAATTTTATAAAGTTGCCCGGAGAAACTTCAAAGGAAATGTGCCAACTTGGCCTGCTCTCAAAATATCTGGTGTCGTCAGGTATCAGCACAATCACAATGACCGAAAGGCTGGCGGGTGCCCATAAGTTTTAAAAATATTTTAAGGACTCACGCTCAAATCTATAGAATAGATCTAAGGCGGTGCGAGGACTGACAATGGCATTATAGTACAATGTGTTGGGTTAAAAAAACCCATCATTTTTGTAGAGTCCTTGAAACATAGAGCCAAACTTCTGTTCCTATCTTTGTTCAACTTTGAAGTTACTAAGATCAGCTATGGTGGTGCGTTGTAATTAGTTAATGCTACATGTTTTAGCTGCACATGGCAATCAGGCTAGACAGAGATCTAGATAAGGCAATGTCTCAAATCACTACCTCTGTCTACCACTAGTCAAGATGGCAATTGGTGGTATCCTGTTATACGGCCAGCCCTGCTGTACGGCCAACTTTACGCTCGTCCCAAAGCAAGGAAAACGCGGGATCTGATCTTTGGATCTTTCGCGAACCGGGATCTTAGCCGAATTTCCAGAGGGAAGAATCCACAGTAACTCATGGTGAGGCCCAACATCAATACAATGATCTCCCCTTACTTTAATATGAACAGACATGACTCCTGGGCACTAAAAGTTCCTTTCAGGAGTAAATGTTGCCCTTTCCTTTGTTTGGGAGAAGAGTGTGGGGCTTTTAAAAAAAAATACTGTGTCAGGTGGGAACCAGTTGGCTTCAGGCAACGCCCCCCCCAAAAAAAAATTTAAAAAAAAATTGTGTTCCAACTCTGACGGAGTTCCCCGCCAATGTCATGATGCATCATAAATTGTTGTGTTGCGACCACACCGAATAATAATAAAAAAAAAAAATGAAAGGCAGGTTAACTGCCACCTGCCAATAGATGACCTCATTATGCAAAGTGCACTGTCCACAAGTATTGGCACCAGTCTGTCTAGGAAGTTCGAGCGCAAAACTGAAAGACGAGAGCAATGGTCGGGGAAACGTAAGTTCCATGAGTTAACAATTTGATGGAATGCAGTCTGATGCTTGCTTGTAGGCCCTCCCCACTTAGTGTGTGATGTAAGATCAGGCGGACGGCGCAGATGATCGTGGAAAGCAACATGTCGACGAGTTCACACCTTGGTGCGATCCCATCTGGGGCAAACATTGTAACCACTTATCGAGATTTACAACATAGATGTGATTGTGTTCACGAGAATGGATGATCCGTGACGCGACCGACTATACAGTGTTTGCATATTTTTGCTACTTGGTTGATCAGCTGAGCGCACCCAGGCTTCTATTCTTTTTTTTTATCTTAAAAAAAAAAAATTAAAAAAACCCCTAAATTATGACCTGAAAAGCAAGATCTTAGCCAAATGTAGCTCCTTCAGTGCGGGTCAGAGCGGGATCTTACAGGTGACTTTATATATAGTTAAAATTATATTTTTCTGAAATAGTGGGATCTTAGGCAAACTGGGACCATTTAAGCGGTTGGGATCTTAGGCGGAGATTACTGTACTGAGTTAGAATTGAGGCAGAGTGCTGAAGTGACTAGTCTGTTCTTATAAGTACAGGATTTATGTTGTTGTTACTGTGTATTGAAGATGCTTGTAATGGAATTTATGGGCTGGGAGTTGGGAAATTAGAAGTGGTCTTCAATGTTTATGTTGTGTCCTGGTTCCAGATCTTTTCTTTGTGGACATTTTTGCTTTCACTCTCACATGCAGAGATGCCCTGCTTTTGCCTTTTGGGGGGGCTAAACCCCCATGGATATTTTTGGTTACAGAACACATAGCACATATGGTCACTAAAACCACCTCTCATCATGTCTATTGTTTACAAGAAAATATAAAATCTGATTGCAAGAACATCAAAAAAGGGAAAAACAGAAATCCCCAGGTTAAAAAAAACATGCAAAATATGGAAGTACTTCTGTAACACCTTTCTTGTTCAAGTTTCTGTTTTTCACAAATTTATACTTATATCCATCGCAAATTACTAGATTACAAAAACCATAAAACTTTTCAAAATCTAGTATTAGCATTTTGCCACGGATGTAAATTTGTGTAAAACATAAAACTGAACAAGAAAGGTGCTATTATTTATGCATTGTTTGTGTGAAAGAAGGCTTCTGATGGGAGGTACAAGATTTATGCAACAGGCTAGGCTTGGTCCGGGGTGCAAGTATGATCAATGGTCTCTTGGAATAGAAAAGATTAGGTTCATTGCCACTTCATTGAATCTGAGTTCGCTTATATAATGTGTTCCTCAAATTCGAGTTATTTTGTTGATTTTAATTGATACAAAAATGTCTCCTTTTTGTTGAATCTGAGTTTGTTGAATCCGAGTTCAACTGTATTCATATTTTACAGTTCCTTCAAAATTAGAGATTTTGTGATTTGTTTATTTTCGTCATTTCAGATGCCGAAGTTTTCATTAGTTTTCTGGTAAAATTCTGTTAAAAGTGGTGTATAAATTATTAAAATCTGGTATGGTGCACGTCTGATAATCGATAATTCACTTGGTTGCCAAAATCAGCTGATTTGAGGATGCACACTTGATGCAAGTGAATCTAGGTTTAATCACTGCTTGTGCTGTTGATTTGGAAATCATGTATGGAGGGCATGATCCGATTTGAAACTTCAATCCTGACATAGGCTTTTTACTACCAGTGTGAGTCTCCTCCCTGTACATATACCCCTTCCTATAAGTCTATGGACTCTCACTGTCTATTGTACTTCAATCACAGCTACCAACTGGGAGTTTATTGGTTATAGGATAGTTAAAACAGACATTCAATCCTACACTTTTTGCTCATCTGAGCATCCAGACCTGTTTCTAATTAATATGTCTTTTGTCCCACTTTGCTGGGTGGATGTGGATTTTTTAAAGAGCATAAAATTATCAGTATCTAATAGAAGAGCTGGCAGTGTAATGAACTATAATGGGGTTTCAGTGTCTTCTCTGTTAAATAGTACTGCTACCTTACACAAACGTTAAGGAAAATGATTCTGCTATGGCTAGATTTCGGATAATATTATTAAGTGTTATTTCCCTTTGTCCAAAATTTGATGAAGTGTCCTTCAGGCTTTCCAATGTGACGATCGCTAGTCATGTGGGATAAGAAATTAGAAAAAGAGATTACCACCGTGCAGCTGCTGAGTGGGTGCCATGTGTAGTATTTTCTGCCTCTCCAATTCACTGATGTGTTGTCGGGCAAATTTACAGGACTAGTTTAGTTTCAGGCAGTCGAGGTATGGTGGTTTAAAGTTTGAATTAAAGGGGGAAACAGTGTTTATATAGGTGACCCTTTTGTGCCTTGACTTTCCTGGCGGTATAATGGGGGTGGGTGTAATGGAGTTTGACTGTAGTTCTCTGTGCTTAACCATGTATTCTTTTGATGGCCTTGCAGATATAACTACCGAACACAGAATGTTTAATTGGAATCCCCAAATGAGAGGGGCTGGCTTCCCCATGCCACCCCAGCAGATGATGCATGTCGCCCAAGGGCAAATGGCACTAGGGCAGCAGGTACCGTTTCAACAACAACAGCAACAAGCGCAGCAGCAACAACAACAACAGCAGCAGCAGCAGCATTGGCAATTTGCCAACATGGGTATGATGATGGGCCACCAGTGGCCACAGCAGCAGCATAACCAGGCCATGTTTCCTCAAGGCATGATGCAACAACACCATCCGGGAATGCATGGAGCTGCGGCCATGATGGTTCACGGACATCCGGTTCCGCCCACCCACCCACCCCCTGAGGAAAAACCACCGCTGCCTGCAGAACCCCCTCCTCCGCTTCCTAGCACACCAGCAGACCAGGCAAGACACAGATATTTGCTCCAGTTTAAAAAAAATTTAATTAGTTAGTTGCAAAAGGGCCATTCCATGAAAAATGAAACAGCAGTGACACACATGATGTGGAGATGATGACCCGCTAAAAACAATTTTAAACAGTGATGGAGCAGAGTTTTATTTGGTACTTTTTTGGTTCTATTTTTGGTTTTTTTGTTTGTTAGAGGAAGGTTGCCTGTCTCTCCCCCCCCCCAAAGAAAAAGAATGGCTCTATGATGACTGCTTCGAATTTTTCAGCAGTTACCATGTGTGTCACTGCGATTTCATTTTTTATGGAATGTTTCAAAAGCTTTCACCAGAGACCTAAAGGAAACTAAAAGTGTTTGATACTGTAGAGATGCATGGTCGTAGGGCTCTCAAGTTTTTGTTTTTTTCTTTGGTATATTTATCTACCTTATATGATTGATAAATGTAATGTAAATGGAGCTTCAATTTTTCTGCAGCATTTTTAAGTCTTGCAGGCACGTAGCGATATTGGTGGGGCGTGAAAATATTTTCAATATATGTAAGAGTTTCACTGTGTACTTGATTTGAATACAAAGAATAATTGTGTAAAAGAAAAAGTTTGGGACCTGAAGATTTATTCGCTATGTCCATGTTTCACTTTGTTCTTGCTAGATTGTAATATAATAAGATCTATATATAATGTGTACTGTCTTATGAAGCTGTGTAGATGGTCACACTTTTTAAGCACTTGAAGAAGTTTTGTGGCCTTTATTATTTATTTGCATGATTTTTGTTTCTGTGTGCCACCTGTGTGCTTTGTCTGCTGTGATCTTACTGTGTTTCCTTTTTGTGCTACTGGCAGCCCCGGCCACCATTACCAGAGGAGCAACCAAAACCTCCATTGCCTCAGGAACATGCGGGACAAGTGAGCGTCAATTTGTACATGAGTAGTTATTGCAGCTTGGGGTTTGTTTCGTTTTGATATCAAAAGTGATGTTTAGGCATTCTGTTTTGTGTATTGTTTTGTCTGACTGAATAGCTGTAAAGGAGAGACATTAGTCTGACAAGTACCAATATTCTATTTCAAGTCCAGAGTTTATTAGTTGTAAGACGAAGCTAAACGAGACGTGTTTCCATTTTTCATGAAAATACATGGTAGAGGAGGAATTTGAAAAGTGAAGGGAAAAGCCACTAGCAGCAAAGCGAGGATAAATGTTTTTCCACATAGTGAATTCTTACCAAAATGTCAGAATTCTTGGTTGTTAATTTTAGTGAATCTATGTCTATAATTTGTGTAAGGAATCTCCACCTCATAGTTAACTCCTTGGCTTATAGTTGGAGCGGACAATTGAAAAGTTCACCGAGCTCTTTTACAGCGCAGTGTAGGTGAACGAATGTAAGGGAAGTGATATATAAGGCATCATGGTGAAATCAGGCGCTTGTTGAAATAATAAGATGGAAGAAATTGTCATTTCTCAGTTTGGAAATTTTTTCCTAATTTTTGTTTTGTTTTGCTCAACACTTTATATGTCAATTTAGAAACACTGTTATGTGTGGATTTTATGGAAAGACGTTGATTAAAGGCACGAAAAATGTAAATTTGCAGTTTCCAAGGACTCTTGAGCTATGTGAATCACCTAACTTTGTGGCCATTTTCTCGCTAATTTGACTTCTGAAATGACACGACCCCCACCTCTTTCAGTCGCAAATATTTCGACTTCTATTCAAGATGAATAAATATTTTTTTACTTTGAAAGCAAGGCAAATGAACAACCTTTAAGATGATACCAATAACTCCATTTATGCCCCAAAATTGACGAGTGCCTGATTCCACCGTGTCATCACACATATGGATTTCTTAGGTAGAGGGATAAGAGGAATGGATGGAAATGTCTTACTCGTCTTTCTACACAGCAGAACATCAGGCCAGGGTTTGGGCCTGGCATGGTGAGGGGTCCCTATCCTGGTGGTCAAGCCCCACCGGGAGGTCCCAGCCAGCCTGTCCCACCGTCTGAACCGGCGCCTCGACAGCCAGCTCCCCCGCCAGAACCTTCAGCACCACAGCCTCCGGTTGTAGAGGAACCACCTCCACCAGGTGGGTCAGGTCTTGGGTTGTTTTGTATTATTGCGATGTTGTAAAATCTTTTTTGCCACTGGCTGAAGACGGTTTTTGTTAGTGTTACGGCGCTGGGAAAAAACCTGTACATGCTTGAAGTTTTATGATTTGGTACTGATTTGGGTTTTGCTATTAATATTTGTTCTCCATGGTGTATGATATGACAGGCTGTCAATTATTGTGACCTATCGAAACCCAGTGATTAATTATGAAAAAAGCTGTTTTTCATATCAGTAATGAGTCTATTATTTTATTGACAGATCCGGAGCTGGTAGCTGAAATGGAGAAGGTGTGTGAAGAAGAACGCTTGTTTATGGAGCAATACCGCCAGTGGAAACAGCAGTATGATGACTGGCGTGAACAGAACCAGAGTGAGTGTCTGGCTACTCTGGGTTGTTTTGTCATAAAATTGCTTTTGCGTTTGATTGTGGGGAAAACATTTGGATGAATTCATGTAATGCTGCTCAGACAGAGGTTGGTTGGAAAATGTCACTGGAAGGTTCTATTTTTCTTTCTCCTCTATTGTGTATGTCTGATCGTCTTACTTTTCCCCTGCACTAAATGACCATTATTTTGGTGGGAAGAGGAAAGGGGGAGGGGGAGGGTGAACCTTTCATTCATAAATTTGATTTATTTGGAGATTTATTGTGGCTCTTTGCCCTCTTAGTTCAGTCCTATTGGTGATGGATATGAAAGTAGTAGGGGGTACCATCTCTGAAAGAAACTTCCAATTTTGAAATGAGTTTAAACCAATTCTTTACTTTAAAAATTCTTTCGCTTCCACAGACCACCCGAACAAAGAGCAGTTTGAGCAGTACCTGAACCAGTGGAAGACATATGAACAGCAGATGGAGACTCGAAGGAAGGAGATTCTTAATCAGAAGCAGAGTGTACAGACCAAACTGGGAGCAGGACTGTCTGGGGGGAAGAAAAACAGCACTGATTTCACTGGAAAGTCTATGGCGTACAACAGGAAAAGTTCTGAACGGGAGATGAGGGAAGGACTAAAGTCGAATGGATATGAGAGGAAAGATGGCCAGGATGCAGTACCATCGCAGCTGGCTCAAACTCACCAGGGCAGGAAGTTGGATGGTGGGCAACGTGCTCATGAAGAGGAGGAGAAAGGAGAAGAGGACATGAACTTGGATGATGATGACGAAGGAGGGGAACAAACTGGGGGTATTATCGAACACGCTCCCATACCCAACACTGGGGTCTCTGAGGCGGGTCGCAGTGCTTGGGAAAGTCGTAAACCGGATCAGGTTGCAGATTCCTGGAGAGGTGAAGGAGAAGGCTACGCAAGGCCTTGGGGAGAACAACCTCCCCCGCCCGGTGTGCCACCACACAATCCATCACACAATGGACCCCCTCCCCACATGCATGGTGGGCTGCTCCCCCCACATTTACGTGGTGGCCCACCTCCCCATTTACAAGGTGGGCCGCATGCACCCTCAAATGAAGCTTCTGAAGACTTTTCGGAATCGCACAATGCATATGATGAAAGTTCTGCCTATGGTGGGCCAGAAGGACCTCGAGATGGGCCGGCTGGGCGCGGTGGGGAACTGCCGAACAGAGGCTGGTTCAATCAGCGTGGAGGTCCTCGCGGTAGAGGGGGGCCCTGGGGTCCTGAAGGCTTTCAGGGCAGAGGAAGGGGTCAGCACTGGGGAGGTAGGGAGCCTCCATTTGGAAGAAGTGGAGCAGCTTTTGAGGGTGAGGAGGAGGTGGACCAGCATGGGCAGGAGGAAGCGACAGAGGAGCAGTTTGGTGAAGAGCCAGAACAGTACCCGGCAGAAGAAGGCCTGGAGTATGAGAACGAATTCCACGACCCTTCAAACTCATTTGGAGGACCTGGCCGGGGGCGAGGAATGGACAGAGGGAGAGGGTTTTTTCCTCGAGGGAGAGGCCAGTTTCCTCCTCGAGGGAGAGGTGAATTTCCTCCTCGAGGAAGGGGTGGAGAGTTTGAGCAGAGAGGTAGAGGGAGAGGAGGTGACTTTGGTCCAGGACGTGGACGTGGATTTCCTCCCATGGGGAGAGGAGAGTTTCACAGTGGCCCTCCCGGGGAGCTCTTCCGGGGTCGTGGTGGCGAGTTCCGTGGGGGTCGGGGGGAATTTCGAGGAGGCCGTGGTGATTTCATGAGAGGGCGTGGAGACTTTCACAGAGGGCGTGGTGGAGCATTCCATGGAGCGCCTGGAGGGGAGTTTTCTGAAGAGACTGGTGGGTACGAGGAAGGATTTGAAGAAGGACAGAACTTTGAAACGTCACGCGGTGGATTTCACAGAGGCCGGGGTGGTCCGCCACCACATTTCAGGGGTCGGGGTAGAGGGACGGGGCCCAGACCTTTGCTGTCGTATGATTTTAATGATGAGATGCGAGACAAGTTTTCAGATTTTGATCCGGCAAGTTTTGAAGATGAGGCACAAGGGACCACTGAGGGAGAGGCTGGTGAACAGTATGAGGACCCTGTTTATGAGGGTGTCGATGGTGCTCATAGTTTTGTGGAAAGAGGACGGGGGCGGGGTGTGCCAGGAGGGGGGCGAGGAAGAGGGCGGGGAGAATTCCACGGTTATGGAGAAGAAAACAGTTTCCAAGATGAAAGCTTTACGTACGGGGACGATTCATATGGGCCACCAGGAAGGGGCAGGGGCATGGACAGAGGAAGAGGGATGGATAGAGGAAGAGGGAGAGGAATGGACAGAGGAAGAGGGCGAGGGATGGATAGGGGAAGAGGTTTTTGGCCAGGTGCGGAAAGGGGAAGAGGCAGTTTCCGTGGGAGGGGAGGTTTTGGTGAGGATCATGGCTGGGAGGGGCATGAAGAAGCTGGAGGTGAGAATGATTTTGAGACTTCCTCACGGGGCCGCGGAATGCCACGAGGCCGTGGGCCGATGAGAGGTCGTGGAGGACCTGATGCGGGTTACGGTGGACGTGGTGGTTTTGCCGGTGAGGGTGGATATGACCACGACCAAAGTGCAGGAGTGGACGAGTACGGGCAGGAGCCATTTGGGTTCAGAGGTCGTGGCCGAGGGGCTATGCGCGGTCGAGGCCGGGGTTATGGCCCCCCTGGAGAATTTGAAGAGGAGGGTGCTGCCCACGACAGAGGCTTTGAAGGTGGCAGTTATCCGGGAGCTGGCCGGGGCTTTAGAGGAGCGAGAGGTGCTGTGAGGGGAGGCAGGGGCGGCATGCCTGCGGGTGCAGAGACTGAGGGCTGGCTGGAGAAAGAGGCGCAGCACCAGTATGATGGAGAGTCCCAGCAGGTTAGTTCACTTGTTTTTGCGTCCCCCCCCCCCCTGATTTTTAAAAAGTTGTTGGGTTTTTTTTCGTAAGAGTTTTACGACACTTGCCACACAATAAGGTCATATAAGTGCCTAAGAATAGATGTGTTACAAGAGAGTAGCATACAGAAAAGAGAAGGGATGTTTTTAAAATTTTTAAAAATTTAGTAGAGGTTTTACAGCACTCGCAACTGCATAAGGTCATGTGAGCGCCAAGTGGTGGATGTCAGCAGAGAATCAGGCTTACTCTGCTCACCTCTCTAGCTTCAACAGCACAAAGTCTGTTTCGACTTTCAAGGCACTCCAGAAATAGCGGGTCACAAGAGTGACAAACAAACAAAAAAAGTAGAGGAAAATGACAATAGTAAGGATTAGGAAAGAAAAAGCAGCAGTTCCCTGTTGTAGATCAGCACAGTTATGAGCGTGACATTGATGAATCAGCCCATTTACAATTCTACTGTGCATGAACGAGAAATGTCCCCCCCTTTGGGAATTGCCTAAAGACCGCCCTGGGGGGAAAGGGATATTTGATTTGAAAGAAAGAGCAAACCACCCCAGAGCACCCGCCAACCACCCACTTTTAAAGTTTGAAAGATAGGAGAATGGGGAATTGGTGGGGCTCAGGTGTGATCTGTGCTCTTTTTATTTTGTCAGTGTTGTTATTGTCAACTTACAGAGTTGTGTCTTTACTTTGACATGATTGCACATTAGTATGAGTATGTGTCAGTACATTGACATTACCCCCCGGAGCAGTGCCACTGACTGTAGTGTCTTTAGGCCATTCCCAAAGGGGGGACATTTCTAGTTCAAGCACAGTAGAATTGTAAATGGGCTGATTCATGTCACGCTCATAACTGTGCCTGATCTACAACGGGGAACTGCTGCTTTTTCTTTCCTAATCCTTACTATTGCCATTTTCCTCTACTTCGATTGTATGTTTGTCACACTTGTGACCTGCTATTTCCGGGGTGCCTTGATAGTTGAAGCAGACCTTGTGCTGTTGAAGCTAGAGAGGTGAGCAGAGTAAGTCTAATTCCCTGTAAAGACTTCTCTGTTGACACCCAACCCTTGCGCTCATATGACCTTATGTAGTTGCGAGCGCGTAAAACCCTCTACTATAACGAAAAATAAAAAAACACGGACATTGTAATAATGCAGTGAAAGCTGTCAAAGACGACCACCCATTGTCAAGGAGAAAAGCAATTATAATAGTTTTGTGAAATGCATAACGTGTGCTGTAGTGTAGGGGTATTTCTTTTTTTTCCTTCTTCTTCTTCTTCTTCTTCTCTCTCTCACAGACACACACACATGCACACGCACACACATGCACACACTCTCACTCACTCTCACACCCAAACAACTCACATTCTCACACACATTCTCACAAACATTCTCACATACAAAAACCACTGGCAATGGACAGTGTAGTTGAATAATATGTCATGAGATGCTGTTTGACAGATGTGGTTGTGATCAAACATTAACACAAAGTTTATGGACTGGCATGGTTATATATAAACATGGGCATGATGTCATATGTCATGTGGTGGACAGGGTTGTACAAATATTAACGTAATGTTGTCAACATCATTCTACAACAATGACTAAGACTTCAAGGGGCATCTTAACATTTTATATATATA